TGAGTTCAAGACTAGCCTAATCTCTGTGGCAAGCTCCAAGCCTGGGCTACATAGTGAGACCTTGTCTTAAAATCAAGTAAACAAACAAAACACAAAATCCAACCAAACCAAACAATTATTTGGGGGCCAGGGATATAGCTCAGTGACAGAGTACCTGCTTAGAATACACAAGGACCTGGGTGTGGTGATATTGTATTTCCCAATATATCGTGCACCCTAATAAATTTATCTGGGTTCAGAGAACAGAACAGTCACTAGACAGACATACAGGCCAGAAAATGGTGGCACTCACACCTTTAATCCTAGCCTTCTGGAGGCAGAGATCCATCCGGATCTCTGTGAGTTCAAAGCCACACTGGAAACAGACAGGCATGGTGACTCACACCTTTAATCCCAGGAAGTAATGGCAGAAAGCAGAAAGGTATATAAGGCATGAAACCCAGGAACTAGAGCTGGTTAAGCTTTTAGGCTTTTGAGCAGCAGTTCAGCTGAGATCCATTTGGATGAGGACTCAGAGGCTTCCAGTCTGAGGAAACAGGATCAGCTGAGAAGTTGGCGAGGTGAGGTTAGTTGTGGCTTGTTCTGTTTCTCTGATCTTTCAGCATCACCCTAATACCTGCCTCTGGGTTTGTTTTTATTAATAAGAACTTTTAAGATTCGTGTTACACCTGGGTCTGCTCCCCGGGACACACATACACCAATTGTTTCCAAGGGTGAAAGGCGAAGCAGGCTTGATTGCACAGGAAACAGTAAGAAACTACATTTCAGTGGCCCCAAGTCACACTCCTTCCTTCCACCAATCCTATTCTACATTTGGGCAGAGAATTTCTACCAAGGAAAAGGAATTGCACCTAAAATGTTTTTGGTTGGCTGGTCAAATCAAGTATGACTTTTTTTTCCGGGCTGGTGCTGAGGCTAGGTAGAATTTCTAGGTAAGGGAACGCTAGGCAGAGCCTCCCCCATCAAGGTTCGATGCTGATAAGAGTAAAAAGAAACCAGAGTTGGCTCCTGGTTCCAAGGGACAGAAACTCAGACTTTTCTAAGGAAAGCAGAGAAATTACAAGGATATTCATTGCCCAAACTCAAAGAAAACAAAATAAAAACCAGACAGCCTGGAGAGCCAGCGGGAAACAAGGCAGATTCAAGGTCCAGTGACTTATGTACCGGGATCTCTTTCGTGTGCCCATCCTTGTGTGTGTGAGTCTGGTCCAGTCTTCTAAGGTTGGCTCTGTTCTTGTCATTGAGGATTCCACCCAGGGCCTTGCACATGCCAGGCCAGCACTCATCACTGAGGGACACCTGCCACACCTTATGTTGTTGTTAGTTAAAACGCTTGCAGGGAGCCAGTCTGATTCACTTGCGTAATTATTAGCAAATTTGCTCAGCTGAGCCCTTCCTTATACTAGAGTGTATCAGAGGTCACAAGCAGTGTGAAGAGGTGGCATCAATATGGCCAGTATCATCATGATACCCTGGATCCAGTCAGGACACAGAAAACACACAACTTCAATAAGGAAGGTTTGATGCAAAGAATGATTAACCAATAAGGAGAATATGAATCCCTAAGGATAAAGATATCTACAAAATAGAGAAATGGTGCATATAGAAAAACAATGCTACCTTTAGGGATGAGGCAGAGATCCCAAAGAAGGAAAAAAATGGTACCATGCAAGCCTGCCAATCACCGTTGGAGAGGCTGTAACTGTGGCCCTGTTTGCTGAGATGTTGACGGCTGGAGCAGGAGAACGGGAGTGTCAAAGGTAGCTAGACCACGGGGTCCTAGTGCTGAGGGGACATGGACACAAGCTCCCACCCTCAACCAAGAAACTGTCTCCAATCAACAACTGTTTGCAAAGGAAAGATCAGTTTTCTTCAGTGGAGTCTCACTGGGTATATAAACCACACTGAAGGGCAGAGCCCGTGCCCAGCGGTAGATGGGGTTTATTTTGTCTCCCATTGCTTTGTGCATTAAAAAAAAAATCTCACTGGTCTTTTGCTTATATATTATGGCTTCCAATTGCCTGTTTAAGAGAGAAAGAAGGAATGGAGTTGGATGGGTGGGGAGAATATGGGAGATGAGGGAGGGGAAACCATGATCAGAATATATTGTATGAATTTTCAATTAAAAACATGCATATTACAAAATAGCTAAGATTTTAGGTGTCTTAGGAACAAAGAAATAAAAAACTCGATCCTTTAATGATGTCACATTGGATTGCCCCTCCCCGACAAAAGTTAGGTCTCCCTCCACTGGAGTACTGCCGAAACTCATGGGGAAGTTGTCTGGTGGAGCAAGGCTTGCTGGGGTTCCTATGGAATTGCTGGAAACTCTGCTCACTTCCTTGAGAAGCCACTGCAATTTGATGACCAAGTGCCTGGGGTGTCCTAAAGCTAAGCTCCTACACAGTGCAGTTACTACTAGGAACCAGGTCCTCACTTCTGCAGCATCCCTCCAGCATTCTGATGACAGCTGGGAGAGAACAATGTGTGGAATGGCCAGCTCCAGATAGATCACAGGGAAGGGCTGGGAAGGCTGGATTTGGAGCCAACACAGAAAACGAGATATACATAAATCAGTAGTGGTTCCCACACACAGCTTCACAAAACTTGGCATGGAAGGGGATGGGGGTGGCCGGATAAGGGTGTCTGGGGAAAATGTTCGGAGTAGTAGTAAGACTGACTGCCTTACTGAGAATGCTGGGTTATCTAGGAACTGGTGATGCCAAGGTTCCTAAGAGGGATCAGAGGATAGGGCTGCTCTTTCATTTGCTTAGCAAGCATCATTCACTTTTATGTACTGTTTAGGATGTTAGGGTGACCATGAAGAGGCTAGAGATGGCTCAGTGGCTGAGTGTACAGTGTGCTTCTTGTCTGCTTCCTAGCACTAGGTCAGCTCTAACTCTGGCTTCAGGGGGTCGGACCTCTCTGGTCTCGAAGGGCACCTGCAATTACTCCCCCCCATAATAAATAATAAATCTTAAAAAAAATGAGGATTGGTGGGCTACACTTGAAAATCAAAACTACCAGTTTCCTTAGGAATTTTAATCAAGACAAGACTGTGGCAGCTGTTTGCCTTGAACACGCCTAACTGGAAACAGCGCTCACTCAGCACATTTCCCTTGTGCCCCACACTATGTACCAGGAGGTACTCCCTCCAGAGTAGACCGGATTTGAAGTTAGCTGTAACAAACATTGTTGTATTCATGTTGTTCCTTCTAGTAACAAATAATGTCACTTCAGAGGTATTTGAAAATCCTATAGGATCATATAGGAAGGAATGACAAGATGCTTTCAAAGGGAGCCAAGACTTATAAAACGTGTTTCCCCTTGAATGGCTATAGTTAAAAGGTTCAGCCCCTAAAGCCGAGGATGCAGTCATAGAATCTTAGTGTGTGCTAGGCACTGCACTGGATCCCCAGAACGGGGGTGGGCAGGACAAAAACACCATAAAGCAACAGAGAGCCTCAATCATAAAGATTATTGTGCAGCATAAATACTAATGTTTTATACTAAAATTTAAGAACAAGAATATACTGAGTCATCCACAGGACCTAACACAGACATAAAGCAGTTGCAAAAAGAACATGAAAGATTTCTAAGTTCACAGAAAATGACAAAGGGCGCTTATATTATTTTTTTCTTTGCTTTTTCAAGACATTACTGTGTAGCTCTGGTTGTTCTGGAACTTGCTCTATAGAGTAGGCTGGCCTCCTCTGCCTCCCCCCCCCCCAAAGGCGTGTGGCCCTCTTTATGCCCAGCTCTATATTAGGCTCTATTAAAGCACTCTTCCAACTTCCCCAGGTCCCAAGAAATGATTAATGAATCTTCTAGAGCCAACTTATCTCCCCAGTCATAGGAAGCCACTGTCCAAGTAAAGCAGGCATCCATGTGACAATGCTATTACATGTCCTCAACCTACCAAAGGCATCCTTTGAAAACAATTCCTGAGACTCAGCTGTTGAGTACTTTCACCTCATTTTAAGGCGCTCCAAAAGCTTTCCCCATTCTGCCTACAATACACCACCACACACTTCAAATATAGTAGTAGCTTAAGGTTTGCTAAAGGCTGGGACACAGCTCAGCAAGAGAGCACTTGCCTACCAGGTAGCCCATGGTTAGACTCCCCATCACTGCAAAATAAAAAAAATTCGATTCAATGTAAACCTGACCTATTACTCAATACCCTTCCAATCTCCTTCAAAGTTTTTTTTTTTTTGGGCAGTAACAGCACACATGTGGTTAGAGGACTTGCAGGTTTCTGAAGGTCACTCAGGTTGTCAAGGCTTGGCAGCATCCACGGAACTATCTTGCTGACCCTTTAATTTCTAGTTGCTCAATTTGAAACAGGACTAGATTTTTTTGTAGTAGAGCGTTTTAACGAGCATTTCCTTCCTTTAATGAAATCTTTTTTTCCCCTTAAAAGTAGTTGGTACAAATGTCTCCTGCTGAAGCACACTGGACACTTTTGTAAGATAACTTCTGAGTGCTCTTCAATCGGCCAATATTAGCCAGTGGGTTAAGACAATCCCTAACAGAAGGTCATTATGCTGCAATCAACGTTCTCTTTTGATCTCTATTTTTTGTTCTAAAAAAGATCTTAGAAATTTTCAAAACATACTTGGTGTTAATACAATCCAAGTATGTCAACAATCACCTTTGACGTGGACAAAGCGAAAAAGCCACCGAAACATAACCCCCCTCTCCGCCCCAATAAACCGTGCCATTAAGAATTCTAGTAAACAATCTACAAGGATTAAAAAAGTGTACAGGGGCACATGTGCACACCACGAGATGGTGTTGAAGTCAGAGGGCTCTCCTTCCTTCCCAGGATGAACTCAGGTCTGGCTTGGTGGCAAGCACCTTTACAGGCTGAGCAATGCATGGTTTTAAAAGTCACTTTTGCTCAAGATATCCTCTACACAAAAATGCAGACATTTTACCAGTTTCCACAATATTTTTTCTTAAATGTTAACAAATGGGGGGAAAGCCAACACCCAGGATAAAGGATTTAATCCAGTATTTATTCCATACTCATGATGGTTTTCTGAAATCAGAATACAAGTCATAAGAACAATCTATCAAATAATTTGCTGATAGTCTTAAATAACGCAGCACTGCATTAGTTAATACTTCTGTCCTAGATTAAGTTTAAAAACTCAAACAGCAGTCTTCATTATCAATAAAAAAAGTTTTGAATTTTTAAAAAAGGATACTCTATCAAGCTGTTTCATAATTTAAGTATTCTCCATTTATAAAAATGCTTTGGAAGCTTGAGGCTTGAATGCTTCTTTACTCATGTGCCCACCCTCTCCCAATCACTGGTCAGTATAGGGTTGTTGCAATGCCAGGCTTTACACATTTTTTTTTTTTAATATAGTACTTTTAAAATCTGAGAAAGAATTCAAGGAGGGAAAAAGCACATGTCAATGTAGTTTAAAAAAAAAAGGAAACTAAGTGAATAAATTTTAGGCATACTAACAGTGTCCCTTTGAGGTAGAATGCTAAAAGGACTTTTGATCAAATCACAGCCTAATTTAAACCTCTCATAAATTTTCTCTAACATTAACTGTGGAGAATATTAAGTATAACATATTAACAAGAGCTTCCAAGGTAATATACAGTGGACAAGAATGTTAACCCTACAACTGTTGCCTTCATGTATATTGAAAGCACATAATTCTCCTAAAACAAACATCCAAGATCCATTCCCAAAGTCTTTAGCATTCTATTATGAAAAGCACAGCCATGCTAACTTCAGTACACAACCATAATCCCACACCTACCAAACAAAAATAGAATTAGTGGCAGTTTATTGCCTTATACAAATTTAACCAACATGGCAACCATGCCAAAGGAATTAAAACATTTTCAGGACATATGTACAGACTGTACATTTTAAAAACAAACAGAAATGCAAGAACAATCTGTGCATCAGGTGTCAACTCAACGGGGTGAAAACATCAATGCACTAAATGGGATTACAAAGGCACTTCCCTACACAAAAGAAATGAAAACACAGCCTACGGGGAGCTCAAAGAGTGCATAACTACTGCACAACCTCAACTTGGGGGAGAAAAGCAGAATTTAATCAACATTTATAGGATTCAATGTGATCCAATTTTACAAAATCTTCACACAGCCTCATCTTTGTTTTTATGTTCTTTCTCTTGGCTCTCGGGCTCTCCACTCTGGCTCCTCTGGTGATCCTGTCTGTCTGACTGGTCCTTGCCGTCCCCATGCTCTCTCTTGTGGGAGCGGTCTTGGCTTCTGCTGCGCTTTCCAGACTTCTCTTTGCTCGGGCTGTGTTCTCGTTTTCTCAGCTTTTCCACACTGCCAGTTCTCCCCTGACTACCACTTCTACTCCTCTTGTTGGACTTCTCTTTGCTTTCGTTTTTATGCTTGCTCGACTTGTCTTTGCTCCTGCTCCTGCTCCGCTTCCCTGCATTTCTGCTTCTGCTTCTACTTCTGTGTTTCCTCTCCCTGCTTCGACTTCGGCTGTGTTTCTTCTTGGAATCCTTCTTGTCTCTGTGTCGCCTGTCCTCCTTGTCTTCTTTGTGCTTCTTCTCCTCCCCCTCCCCCCTACTCCTCTGCTCCTTGGACCGCTCTCTTGACCTCTCCCTGTCCCTTTCGCGATCACTGCCTCTCTCCTTATCGTACTCTCGATCTCGCCTCCGACCTCGCTCATTTTCTTTCTCTCTTTCCCGATCCCTGTCTCTTCTATCCCCTTTCCTATCACGACTCCGACTGCGAGTTCTGTGCCTTTCCCTGCTGCGGCTGTGCCTGCGTTCTAACCCTCGGTCGATACTTCGCGATCTTCGCCTTTCCTTCTCTCTCTCTTTGGCTTCCCGCTCTAGTCGCTGGCGTTCTTTCTCTCTCTCTAATTCTCTGTCGAAAGAAGATCCATGGCCCTCCCGGTGATGACTTCTACTTCTTGATCTTCTTGGAGACCTCCGTGGACTCAGCGATCTCCTTGGAGACCTGAGAGAAGAGGAAAGGAAGAAACTGGAATAAATATAACACTAGAAGGGCCGGGGTACTTGTAGCTCAGTAGAACACGTGCCTGGCACACTCTCAGACCATTGGGACTGACAGTCAATACCAAATACTCCCTAGTACTCTGCACACATGAACCAACCAAATCTACTCTAAAAATTTCATCACCTTACATATACACCAAATATCATTAAACTTTGGATAGGTGTAGCTTGTGGCAGAGTGCTTGCTTAGCATGTATGCGTATGTCAATACTCAGCACCGAAGGGGCACAAAAAAATAACTGTTCTCACTATAGATGCACAATTTTACTAGAAATGTGGTGGGAGAAAAAAATCCACGATTTTTTGAAGGGGAGTAACTAAACCAAACGTCTGTCCTAAGAACTTGTCACTCCCCAAGAATCGCCAACTTTGCACAGGCCCATTTAAAACAGTAGCTGCTACATTACCTGGACCGCCTTCGCTCAACATGCCGGTCTAGTTCTTCAACGCCTTCCTTGCCATCTTTCTTTATTTTTCTAGGTCGAGTTTTAATCTGCTGATCAATATTCTTCTGAACCGGAACTGGAATTCTCGGAAACAAAGTGGAAAACCACTCCAGTTTTGTGAGAAAGGAGCGAAGCATCTCTCCAATGGTCATTACACAGCCTCCGCCAGCTTTCACATCTAGGTCCTATGAAACATAAAAGATACCCTACTGGTTAAACAAAAAAACCATTATTTCAACATATACGTGAACACTAAAAAAAAAAATTTTTTTTACCATCTTTGGAATCAAGTATAAAAAACTAACAGAAAAATTTCAATTTTTGTATCCTAATCTGGTAATGAATGAAGACTATTTGGGCTAATTGTATACATGCAGGTGAGAACAAACCCTGCAGTCTCTTGGGCATAAAGGGAACTGACTCACTCATTAACAAAAATATGAAAAAGCCCCTTACATTGTTAAACTATGTGGAACAAGTATTTAAATTTGTATTCCACATGCCTACACTTGAGGACCATTTGCACACATCAGACCTAGCACTGAAACCTGGCTATGTAGAAACTACTTTCAGATAATGCCTGTCTAAAAGTTATCTTTTAACAGCTGCAATCTAAAATGGAGCCCTGCTAAAACTGGAAGCAATAGCAAACCAACTGCCATGAAGCAGTGAGGTTTCTAAAGTTATGTACAAAAGAAATAAATGAACAAAGAATTGGAAACGCATAATCCATGATGACCATTGTCTCTGAAAAGGGTCATTACCGCATGAAGGCCTTCTTGCTATGCCCTCTCACAGCTCAGGACATGTTAGTCAGCTATTGTCAGTCCCAAACCTATAGTGCAAGCACACAAGGAAAGTGAGATTTGTTATCTAAACAGGAAAACAAGAGCTAAAGGTAAAACTGCTTGCACTCACACACATTTAAGTGTTCAGATATACAGTATTTCCAAATATAATCGCTGCAGATATCTAAAGAAGAAAACATATGTTAGCTCAAATAGAGGACCTCAGGCTTGTAAATACAATAAAGAGCAGATAAATCAGAAGCATTCAGAAACCGAATACAACAATTTGAAAAGTGCTTTAATCTTTCTTTAAAAAAAAAATCTCATGTAAATAGGAGAAAAAGTTGACAATCATGATTTTCACCTAACTTTCTGGATCTTTAAAAAAACAGCTCGGTAAACAGGCCCAAAACAGGGAAGGAAAATAACCACTGCTGGGCTTGACAGGCATGCTTGTAACCCCAGCAGTAGGGAATGAGACAGGATCTGCAGTAGTGGATAGAGGCCTTCCTTTCTCAGCTAGTCCGAGGCTAACCCAAGTTACATAAGACCTTGTCTCAAAAAAGTTTTTCCTCTATGTCTACATCAGTGAGATTTTTTTTCTAGGTAGGCATCTAACAAAAATGAAATTTTCATTAGAAGCATGAATTCATCAAACAACAACAAAATTCTTTTAAGACAAGGCCTCACCCTGAGTGGCCTGGAATGTACTGCAGACCAGTCTGGTCTGAACTCAGCAATCCATCTGCCTCTGCCTAAGTGCTGGGATTAAAGGTGTGCCACACTAAGCATCAAACAAATTTTTGTTTGAACTCAGGAAGTAGCTGTTAACTATACCATATAAACTTTGAAACATAAACAGTGATAAAAAGTAGATATACCAATAACCATTGCTCACAGCTCACAGCTGAATATGTTGATACTCTAGTCTTCAATATGTAAGTAAATTAATACAGGCAGGATTTTAATCTGACTCTAGCCTCGCTCATCATGTCCCAGGGCTTGAGACGGTGACCAGATTTAGAAAAGAAAAAAAAAAAAAATCTAAAGTGCTAATCTAATTTAAGGAAAAGAAATGTTTGGGTTTTTTGGGGGTGGGGTGGGGGTGGAGATGGCAGTTTTGGGGATCAAGCCCAAAGCCATGCACATATGAGTAGAGTTGAGTAGTAAGTTTTTTAAATTTTAAGCCTGGTCTCTAAAAAAGTATACTGTGTGAGAAAGCTAGCCGTAGGCAGTTTGTAATCCTAGCTAATCAGGAGGCTGAAACAGGAAGATTACAGGTGTACGGTTGTCGTCCTGAGTATATGGCTCAAAAGGAAAACGGAAAAGAAGTATAGTTATTTCCTCACCTTGGAAAAGTGTAATTGTCAGGCCATTTAAGCCAATCCTAACTCTCTCTAAGTCTGTACTCATAAGCAAATATGAACGGTGCTGTTTGAGAAAAGTCACAGGAAACAACCAAAGGTCCAGGGGATTTAACATGCCTATAGGTACGGCAGCACATGTCTTCTACCACCTTAGAAAGTCACTATCAGCTGTCCAAGTTAGGATCAACACAATACAGTCTAATTGGGAAGAGAAAAGGTTATTATTCAAGTTATTAAAACATACTAACTCTTAAAACATATTCAAATAACTTAAAATTTTAACCTAACATGGAGGTCATCAAGTCTTAGCAAGAGGACAATAATCCCAAAAGTAGGACTGAAATAAATTTACAAAAATTCTGAGGACATTAAACTTCAACAAATAAAAGATCAAGAGCAGAGTAGCCCGAAGAAAGCCGATTCCCCTTGCTGACATACCTCCTCATCATCAAGGAAGGGCTCAAACCAGTCCCACAGGTCTGTAGGGGGTTGTGTATACCTAAGATCATGAAAAATCTGTTAGTTTATGGGAATTAAAATAAAATGTTTATTTAAAAATGAAGATAAATGCACGCGTACCTTATATACATAAATCCAAGGGCTCTGATATATGTAGAGTCTGTATGTGTTATGAGACCCATCACTTGTTTTCGAGTTAACTTCAGAGTAAATAATTTGTATAACAGGCAAAAAGCTGTAGAAACAATGCCTCCTGTTCCAACACCTCGAACCTTTAAAGGAAAACAGAGTTAATAAAAAATAATAAACAGATCCTTAATGCCTATTGATTGGTGCTGTTTTAGGTATCAATAACCATGATCTAGAATTAAAAATAGAGCATAAAACTAATACCTCTCCTAACCTAATTCAATGGAAACTTATATTTTGCATTTTCGAAAAAAACTGGAAAAAAAATGCACGTACTTCTACTTACCCCTCCGCACATCCCCGTCTGGCCAGCTGTTTTCCTGCTTCCTTTCTCCCACGGCTCAACATGTGTGACCTGGAAATAAAAAAGAGGAAGACAACAAACATTCGTCCTCTTCAGAGTCTGAGTAGAGCAAGCTGAGTTCACAAGAGCAATTCTCCCCAAGTGTCGTGCCGCTGTAGTGTGTCATCCACACCACCCTGCACTCACACTAAGTACAGAAATCACCTGTGGGAAAACTGCTCAGACAGAATACTACCAAATTATGAGATTTAACAAACCCCTGGCATGTTTCAGAGCCGACAGCTCATTAAACTAGCTTTATAGACAGGTCATACCTATGTGGAGGTCACGCAATTTCTACAATTTCCTACATTTGCAAAAATTATTTGGTACTATTTTATCTTTTATATAATTAAAAAAAGTTCTCACTCTAAGGAAAAAAGCTTTTGCAGTCTCATGGTGAATTTAAATCCACATAATAAAGTGAAGTTTTCTAGGGCTTCTGATGTTGCTCAGTAGCAGGTAAGGTGCTTACTTAAGGCCTGGGGTTGGGGGGTAGGGAGGTGGGTGTGAGATGGGGTCTCACTCTGTAACTTTGGCAGGCCTGGATCTCACTACTTAGACCAGGCTGGCTCAGAACTTTAGAGAACCTCCTGCCTCTGCCTCTCAAGTGTTTGGATTACTACCACACTTAGCTTGGGACGTTTTATTTCTAGTTTTTTATCTGGATCAAGTTCATTCTTAATTAAAGATTAAAATCACAAAGCCACAAGATCATTCAGCCTAAATACAAACAGAGTTTAAACAGTCAAAAGCTAAGTGTGACATTATTAATATATACCAAATATAATCAATAATACAGCACCATCTTTGCTAAAGCGAACACCCTACAAAAAAAAGCTTTACCTAAAAACACCAGACAGCAGTGGCACACACCTTTAATCCCAGCACTGGGGAGGGAGAGGTAGGCAGATCTCTGTGAGTTAGAGACCAGCCTGGTCTACAGAGCGAGTTCCAGGATGACCAGAACTACACAGAGAAACCTTGTCTTGAAAAACCAAAAAGTGCAAAAAGCTAAGGCTGAAAGAGACAAGCCAAAAATATTAGATCTGTTTTTGTTTCTTAAAACAAATAAACCCTGCTCCTTATTTCTCAAAGTTTTTCTGCCCATACATGGTAACATTTCATTTCAGTGGTTTTATACAAAACAAAAAACAAACCAACCTCCCCCCCCCCATTTAAATCCAAGCACACACAAAAAAACCCACATTAAATTGAAGCTGTTCTGCCCAGCTCCTGCAGTTCTTTCCTGTTCCCAACATACAGTGTAAGTCATGCCCCACACAGCCCCCTGGGGCTGAACCTAGGGCCTTGTCCATGTAAGTGCAGTACCAGTTTGAATTGAACCACAATCCATTTCTATTCCTCAGAGTACCCAAAGGAGTGGATACAATGCAAAACTGGAAGCCTATAAATTTCAAAGATTTGATCCAAAGAAATTAATAATAAGTTTAGGTCATGTTTTATGATTTTATTTTTAATTACGTGTATGTGTGAGTCTGATCCTCTGGAATTGAGGTTACAGGAGGTTGTGACCTGCCCAATGTGGATAGTGGGAACTGAGCTTAGGTCCTCTGCAAAGGCAATAATATGCTCTTAATCCACGGGGCATCTCTCCAACACCTGAAACTTTCGTTTTAAAAATGAATTTAAACATCCTTTCTGGTGGAAAAAGTGGTTTCAAAATACAACATTTGAAATGAACTTGAAATATTAGTCTGTATTTTAAAGCAACCTGTCACAAAAGCGCAGGGGCCCAGTTTTCAAAGTTAATTGCATAAACTTATTGTTCATCATACTATATCCACATTGAAAAGGTCTTACCTTTTAAAAGCTAGTTTTAAAAACATCTACTATCAGTTACACCTACTTAACAAGCTTTTGTAAAAGAACACCAAGAGTACTCCTGTACTCTATCCAGTTAAAAGATTTTGCTATAAAAAGCAATCAGTATCTCAAAAATCTCTCATTTACCTAAGCATGTAACTGGGAGAAAAGTAGGTAAATAAAATACATAGAGAATTTCTTTTTGTCAACATCTCCACATGTCTATTTAGACGACAGAAAATATTTGGTCTGTCTCAAATTTCTAAGTGTCAAGACAAGAAAAATTAGATGCATTTTATTTTACATGCTCTAGCGAAAATGCTTAAAAGACATTAAGACTATAAATACTCATTAAAATAGAAATTAACTTCGGAGGCCTGGAAGGTATTTTTTGAACTACCTAATTTGCAAGAAGTGGAGAATCTAGTTAGCGAGACCAAAATCAATGGCCCAAAAACAAACAAAAAACTAATTAGCCATTCATTTAACCAGGGAAATGCATTTATGGCGATTGAGCATGATTAATAGTGCATACCTCTACCTGCGACCCTGGGCTGCTCCGAGCCTCGCTGCAAGACTGAGTCAATCCTGCTAACGAAACAAGAACTGAGACAAGAGTGCAGTGAGGAGGCGCCAGGTGAGCTCCCCAGCACAGCCAAGCCAGCACCGACCCTGCCGCAGAAGCCCAGGGCCCAGATAATTCTAATTATGCCCAACGCACAGGTGGCTGAGACCTCCGACTCCTGACTTCCTGTCGGGAAAATTTCCAGGCCTTCTGTACACCTACCTCTCTGCACTGGCACACCACGCCACCCTCAACCCTCCCGGCCCGCCCGATACACTCACACTAACCAACTTCTGTCTGGATTGGAGAGTTAACGAAGAACACGAGGCCGACATTCAAGTAATTACTTCAGTTAATTCCGCTGGCCCGAGGGGCAGCAGAAGCACCACCAAGTGAGTGCTTAGTCGACACGGGTCAAAAAAAGGAGTCATTTTTAAAACGGTCAACTTGGACGGGCTTCTGGTATTACTTTTCTCCTCTCCCTTAGCCCTCTTGCCCAACAGCTCCCCGGGGAGGTTGGGGTAGGTTAAAGATCGACTGTGGCGGGCTCGCCCGGCTCTCAAAACACACACACACACACACACACACACACAACCTGAAAAGGAAAAAAAAAAAGAGGGCGGCCCTACCCCGACCCGTCCCAAACCAGCCGGGAGCCGCACCTCTCCCTCAGCCAACTTTGCCCCCCTCCCCCAAAGCCTCAGGTCTCGGCGGGGAGGGGGCGCTCCCACCGATTTCCGACAACCCGCTCTGGCGAACTTACCCCCGTGCCGAGGCCTAGAGGATGCGTACCTTAAAGAAGATCTCGTCCACCACCGCGTGGTAGGTCTTGAGCTCGTAAAGCTGCACTTTGAAGTAAGGCGACGACAGGATGTTGGTAAGGATCATGGGGTTGAGGTTCATGGTCTTCTCGTTGCCCCACAGCGGCAGCACGTTGCCCTGCTTGCCCGACACCGCCGGCCTGGTGGCGCCGCCGCCGCCGCCGCCACACTGCTGCTGCTGCTGGGCCACGGCCGCGGCCGCCTGGTGCTGCGGTTGCGAGTTGCCTGTCAGCGCGGGGCTGTTGTTAGCCATGTTGCCGCGGCAGGAAGGAGGGCGGGAGGAGGGGGGCCAAGCTCGATCGCGCTCTTCGGGACAACGGTCCCGGACCTACTCCATGGAAGGCCGTCGGGGGCAGGGAGCCCGCCGCGTGGTGCCCCGGGCCGAGCGAGGGACTGCAACTGAGACGCCGACACACGGACCCCGGGCCCGGGGCGGACGCCAGACGCAAGCGGCGAGAACTCCAGGCGCGAGGCAGAGCGGGCAGCCTAGGAGCGCGATCTCTTCCGCCAACTGCCCCTGGGAACAAGATGGCGGGCCCAGCGGAAGTGACGCCACGCGCCCGGGCGTTCGAGCTCAGCCCGTGGCCAATCAGAGCCGCCCGTGTGGGCAGGCGGTTCCTTTTCCTGGTTGCGCGAGGTCGCTGCGTGCTGGATCCGCTGCGGCGGTCTGTGGGCTGCGCTGGTCGGTTTCTCCTGGGAGTTTGCCCCTGGGGCAGGGTGTGTAGACCCGATCGCTGTGTTTTAAGAGTTTTTTTTTTTTTTTTTTTCCGGTGGTTTGATTTTTCTAGAGGCAGGGAGGGGGTCTCGTGACCCTTACGTACTTGGCGAATGCGTGACTCTTGACTCCTAGGGAGCATCCGAGGTCTCAAGAGTTAATTTTGTTAAAGTTCCCCAGAAAGAACTAGAGTCAGAGAATCCCACTTCTCTGTATGACTCCAGTAAAGAGTCATTGAGGCTTTCTTAGAGGTGTGTCCAACTGGAAGTCATAGACAGCCTCAATTTATCCACCTAAGATTGGGATAACATTTTAACTGGGCTGTGAGCGTTAAAGAAAGTACTCTCAGCTGGGCGTGGTGGCGCCCGCATTAATCCCAGCGCTGGGGGAGAAGGGGCAAGCGATCTCTGAGTCCGATCTACATAGTTCCAGACCAGCCAAGGCTCCATAGAGAGACCCAGACTCAAAAGAACAAAAACCAGAAAATGCTGCTACCCTACGTGGACTGCTTTCATAAAATCAAATCGATCTTTTATACTTTTTAGATAGGGTCACACTATAGTGGAGACTAGGAAGTAACCCAAACTGGCCTCAAACTCAGGAAGCTCTTCCTGCCTCAGCCTTCGAAATAGTGGGATTTCAGTCGTGAGCCACCACATGTAGTGAGATCGTATTATGGTACAGCTGCACTGGGCTAGGCACCAGGTAAGGGAGTGGGAAGTGGTGGGGATGGTGAAAAGGTATAAAGGAATCACAAGGATCAGTTCCCAAAGGCTACTGACAAGATTAATGCAGTTTGAGAGTTAAGGCTATAGAGCTTGACGTATCTTAGATGGAAAAGGGATGGGCATTTCATTGGCAGAGAATAGCCTAAGCATAGAAGCCAAAATTAGGCTTATTAGATGATAAGTAGTCCAGTTGGCAAGAGGCCAGGAGATAAGCTTCTAGGGGGAGTAGTGGCAATAAAATGCCTGTAATGTCAGAATGAAACATTAAGAATTTAATTATACTTAAACCAGATGTTACCCGACATCCTTATAGCACGCGTGTCATGTTTAAATCAGGCTAGGCTTGGTTTTGGTGGCCACATCTGTAATGCCAGCATTCGGGAATCCGAGGCAGGACAGTCAAGAGGCCAAGACTAGTCTGGGCTAGATAATAACAACCTGACTTTAAGAAGAAAAGGTCCCGCTGTTGGTGGTGTAGTTCAGTAATAGAATACATGCTTAGTACACGCAAAGTCAGTTTAATCCCAACATATATGCACACTCAGGTATGCACACATTAGGGGCTAGGGATGTACCTCAGAGGGAGAGCCTTGGTTTAGCAAGCAAGAGTTTTAGCCTCACCACTGAAAAAAGAAAATAGTTCATATATATAATTGTGTCTATGAATGTCTATTTAATGTCTACTTTGTATTACTAGTGCCAATATTTCTGGCTTAAGTCCATTTTTCAGAGATTGCCAGAATAATTCCATCAGGGCACCTCTGCTCCTGGCTGCCATCAGGTGAGCAGCGTCCTCAGCGGAGTGCAATCCACATCACCAAAATCCAATGACATTTTTCACCCTATTTAATTTCTGGCCGTGTTGCATCTTATCATTTTTTCTTTTCTGGAAACTTTTGGGTTAGGAAGTTGCAGGGTGGATGATCTTAGTTTCAGCAGCACGTACACAGAGAGGCAGGAATGGAAGACAGGATGCTGGGGGAATGAGCAATGAGTTGAAACCAATTGCTCCCGAAACTGAATCCTCAGAGGGAAATCCAGTCAGTTCCGTATGCAGTCTTGACTTGCAAGTCAGCATTTTGCAAGTGACTAAATGACATATGTCACTTTGGGTTCTATGAGGGGAGTGGTGATAAGAGAGTACACCACTAAGACCTCGATTCCTCTGCACCAAGGAGGAGTTCCAGCAGGGTATATGTGGTGAAGATGAACTTTCTGGATGGAGGTCATACACTTGTGGAGTGAACGAAGAAAGGCTATTGTGTTATTTAAGGAGAGATTTATTTTGGGTCATGAGTTCAGAGGTTTAAGTCTGTTGTCACTTGGCTTTGTTACTTCTGAGCCTGTGTGTGCTGGTATTACTGGTGTATCTCAGGGCTCCTTGCGGAAGTATCCAGGTTCTTGTGTCCTACAGAAAAGAATCTGATTAGGGACATGTGGCTAGAATAGAGAATATTAGAAAGGGAAAGCACTCCCCATGGGAGTGACTAGTGAGCTGAGAGAAAGGCTCCCGAATTCCTGGGCTGTGAACCAGTCTGACACTTTATAGGACATTTACATACTACCTGCCCCTCTCTGGTTTGTATATGGCAGGTTTTTGTTGAACATACTCCCTTTGCTAGTGAAGCCCAGGTGGGGAAGGGAAGGGTTTCCAGTCTTCTTTTTTTTTTTTTTTTTTTTTTTTTGCCAGCTGGCAGCTTCCTCTTCCTCTTCTTCTTCTTTTGGTTTTTCAAGACAGGGTTTCTCTGTGTAGCTCTGGCTGTCCTGGAACTCAATCTGTAGTCCATGCTGGCCTCAAACTCACGTAATCTGCCTGCCACTGCCTCCTGAGTGCTGTGATTTAAAGGTATGTGCCACCACCGCTCAGCATCAGCTGGCTTCTTTTATATGTTGATTCATTATTATCATTATATATTTTGAGACAAGGTTTTTCTGTGTAGTCCAGTTGTCCTAGAACTTGATATGTAGACCAGGCTGATCTTGAACTCCTAACAGATCTTCCTTCCTCTGCTGGAATTAAAGGTGTGTGCTACCGAGGGCCAGTGTTAATCCTCTTTTTAAAAGATGTTACCAGCTGGCTGGTGGGGGCACAGGCCTTTAATCCCAGCACTTGGGAGGCAGAGGCAAGTGGACCTCTGAGTTCAAGTCCAGCGTAGTCTACAGTGAGTTCCAGGACAGCCAGATCTATACAGAGAAACTCTGTCTTGAAGAAAAACAAAACAAACAAAACGAGATATTCTTATTTTTATCTTTTTAAGTTTATATATGTGTGTGTGTGTGTGTGTGTGTGTGTGTGTTGAGTGTATGCCACATGTGTGTGGATGTCCTCAGAGGCCAGAAGAGGATTCAGTTCTGAAGCTGGAGTATATGGGTGCTGGGAATTGAACTGGAATCCTCTGGAAGAGTAGCAAGTACTTTAAACTGCTGAGCCATTTGACCAGCCCCTCCCGAGCTTCCTTCTAAGTTCATCTTGATGTCACTTTCTTAGTCTAGTCTTCTGCACTCTGAGGCACATCATGATCAGCCTCTCACAGAGGTATTTATTCACCTGAAGTCATGCAGAAAGCAAAGAGAGACAGGAAAGGGTGAAGACAAGAGAAAGTTCTCAAAAACATGCCTTTGGGACCTCGCTCCTCCAACCAGCCCACCTCTGAACATTTCTGTTTCTAATAGTCCGTTCAAATTATGAATCCATCAGTGGGTTCAGGTGTGTCCAAACTGCAGCCCACAGGCAACCTGTGGCCCAACACTAATTCATAAACTTATTTAAAATATTAAAGGATTATGTCTCAGTTCTAAAAAGAGTTCATTTGCTTGGATCTGCAGCATGAACTTTGTGTCAGTAGTTAGGGGAAAGAGACACAGCTGTGCACTCCTGTGCTCTTTACCCTGCCTGAGCAGTTCCCCTGAAGCGTTTTATGGACCTTGACGAATTAGGCCAAACATCATGGCCTTGACGCTGGAAAGACTCAGGGCTAGCTGGTGTAGTGAAGCCAAGTTGGGAATTTTACTAAAGATATTTTAATGTAGGTTTAAGCATGACAGTTAAAAGAAAGAGGCACTCCAAAGGAAGTAAAACACATCAGAGAGTACATGTTTGGGCCTCTCAAAACAGTCACAGAAAGCAAGACACATCTAAATGCAGCATGGACCTCTTAGAGAGTGAGCAGTTCGTGCTACCCATAGATGCCATTTTGATGGCTTTCAAACCCAAAGGTTACTTAAATCTTTTTTACTCCCCTCTCTTTTTTGATAAGAGATATACATGAAGTGGCTCTGGGCATGCCTCGGATGAAATTATAATCTGATAAGGTAGAACCAAGAGCTACTAGGATTGCACAAAGGTTTAAGGCGTACCATTTCCCTGTAAATAGGGTTTCTGGTGGGAGTCCTAGAAAACGGCAGGCTTGTGGATGGCCATAAGCAATTGTTAATTGTGCCGGCATTCTTGTTCAGGGGTTAATGAGAGGTGTCAATCAGATGCTCGAGTTTAGGGGCTTTTCCCCTTCTTATCCTCTCCCCATTTTGTCTGCCTAAAGCGAGAAATCAGTGGAGTCGCCTTTCTAGCCTGCCTTATTTGTCGATTTCAATGTTGTGTTCTGGTCAAAAGGCTGGACATGCCTGGATCCACTAATAACCTCCGAACCCTCCTGGTGATTGAATGCACCACCTAAGGAACATGACTTCTAATGCATGAACTTCTTATAGCAAGGTTCATGAGCCTTCCCCCTCACCACTACCTCTCTTCCTCAGACATTCTGATGTGTCCTGGATTTGTATATGGATAAAGTACAGACAGTGGGGACGTAGCTCAGTTCAGTGCTTCCCTTTCTAAGAGTGGTGGTCATGTCTCTTCACAGCAATAGAGCCCTAACTAAGACACATGCTAAGGAATGGTGGCAGGAAAAGAATTCAGCTTTTGCTTTCTGCTCTTTGTAATTAAACCATTATGTTTTCTTTTATTTTTGGGGGGGTGGGGGTGGGGCAGGGTCTCCATATATAGCCCAGGTTGGTCTCAAGATTGTTATGCAACCATGAACCCCTGATCTTCCTGC